ATCTAAACTTGCCTCTTCTAAGGATTAAGGATAGAATGACTATACACCCATAGGCTCAGTATTCAGTACAGCCTTGGAGCAAAGCTAAGTCACATGTAACAACCAGCAAAGATTGTTGAAGACAAATTCTACCTTTTGAATCACAGTGGGCCCAGATTTTAGCAATTGGTTTCAGGTATTTTCACATTACTCACAGATGTCGCAGGAAGCGCAATGACTTACTTCTGTACATGCTAAACATTGTGTAGAGGGTAAGGCAAGACAATCAGATAGCTGGCAAGTCGTTATTATGTAAGATATACACACCTGATCTCCCATGACACCTGCTCCTACAGACATTATGTTTGTTGACCTCAAACTATTGTGAGCAATGTGATCCCTATGTTTACAAAACCATTACATATACTATTTAAGTATTATCATTAAATATCACACAGTATATACATACTGCCAGTGAACAGTGATAATCAGTGATCAGTGAGCTTATAGTTTTCTATGATAACAAACTGAACCTTGAGATTCCATGAATTATGTTCTGAACAGGGGTTTGTCAAAAAATGCTGTCAATGCTTCCTGAATAATTGCAATAAATGGCCTTGACCTTGAACAATGTGGGTCAATCTAATCTCATTTCCTGTTATGGTTACCAACATTGAACTCGATCTTGTACTGACTGACTGAGTTTAGTTTTACGCCGCATTTAGCAATATTCAAGCAAATCACGGAGGGGGACACCAGAAATGGGCTTCACACATTGTACCCAAGTGGGGATTCGAACCCGGGTCTTCGGTGTGACAAGCCAACGCTTTAACCACTAGGCTACCCCAACCACCCCGATCTTGTACAAAATGAGGCAAAATCATATGAAATGGATCCCACACACCAACAGATTACAGTAAAAATCATAAGTTAACACTCACACATTTTTTTATCTTAGTTTCTTATAATTGACCAGAGTTTCTTTACTCCTTCATGAGGTGAAATAGGAGAAATAAATGAGTAAGAATATATAGCATTTGACATGCTTAAATTCTTGCATTTATGTGTATCACTGCTAAATGCCACTCAAAAACTCGACACAAGCATCTTTAATATTTATCAGTTGTTATCTTTTTCATTTCAGACAGAAAGCTATTCTCAGTTTTCCATGCACAAATCCCGGCACTTCTCCCTAGCTACAGTAAAAGTATCACTGTTGTAATTCCTCACCCAACTACACACTTAAACTCTCATTACCCCCAGTGATACACAATCACCTTCCATGAAACAAAAATATTTTCTTATCCTGGCTTATCGGGCCGTGTGAAGGTCATATATAATCCTGTAACGAGCATACACTGTAAAGATTTGCAGTCAGGCATGGCTAAACTGAAACAGTAATCCAGCCTCGTAATCCCCACGTTAGTCACAAGCACTGATCGGTAGTCCATTACGTACGACAGTTTGGCTTGGAGATTTGACTCTCTTGTCAGTGTGCAGGCAGCCATGATTGAACACTGCAGTTAATGGCTTACATTTACTGATCAGGAACATGGCTGTAACAATAACGGGTTGTTCAACATGTACTGGCCTTTATATAATATCTAAGACATGACTATCGGGCAATATATTTTCTTGTGAATATCTACAGACATGTATAAATCTTGCCTCTTCTTGATCACTCTGATTAAAATACAGAACAACAAAACTACAAAAGATTTTAAAATCTTTTCACTAAATATTATCATGATTTTCATATTAGTTTTCAATATACATTTTTCAAACAAATTCCTAAAGATCAAAACAAATTTTTGTGAACTGTTTAAGGGATAGCAGTTTTATTTTTCATTAACTTGTCCTTCATCCAATTTCAACAAATAAGATTCATGGCATTTCTACAATGATCCTTCCAAGATCTTGATCACTCTGTTATGTTTTAGCCAGGCTGTATAGGTTATAGGTTTTGGTTTAGAAAATGTTGTGTCGAGTACAGTAGGTGGCAATATAACACCTTCAAAACTAACTTTCTTTTCTCTTCACCCAAATTTGCTGAGATAAACAGTTTATTCTACTAGTATTAAGTATGCTAAAGACATTTTGCATGTGGTGAAGTAAAAAGAAGTACTTTTGAGGTATATGTTTTCCCACTTTTCATGATTTAACTTAGTTAGCTGAGCATTTTTTTAACTAAGAAGAGGAATCTGTCTACAGCTAAAGGAGACAGTTGTCACTGACAAAAGAAGATAGCCGCTTATAAATCAGACAGTATGAAGAATGCCAATCATCTGTGCCATATTACTTAGACAATGGAAAATAATCACTAAATGCCCCAAACTGTGGCTTTTTAATGTTAAATGATGACACCTAAGTCATATTGACACTAAATATATAAAACCTGGTAGTGATAATCTCTATGATGAAGTCGGAGATAGCATATCTGATTCATACATGAGTAATAAAGGCTGAGATTATTGTCAACAGCTATCAACACAAACAATCAACAATACCTGCAGCCTATCTCCATTCACCTTGGCTACATTTACAGTGCATAAATAACTTGTGCAACATTACACAAGCAGTGTGGCTAATATATAGCTGATGTGAAGATATTAACATTAGGTTTAGCAGGAATGATGCCTGAACTTTGCCCTGTTGTTTTAGATTCCTTAATTCACTCTGCAGAGTTTTGTCCGTTGGGTATGCAAACTGTAATTAAGGGTTCAAATCCTATGTTATCTTTCCAGGTTTGCCAATGTCAATCTCATAGGTTTAATGAAAATTGGAAAACATCAAAAAGTTGCAAATAGTTTGTCTCTCCTTCGACGTCAAACTGAAACACGATGATATAAAAAGTACTAACACTGGAAAAACTTAATCTTGATGCACTTAGAACTATTTGTGGTGCTGTTCGCGGCACGAGTCACAACAAAATTTATGATGAGACAAATTTCCAACCACTATGTACTCGAAGATACATCCAAAAACTAAAGTTTTTCTATAAGATGGTTAATAATTTAACTCCAAAATATCTGAGCGATCTCGTCCCTCCTAAGGTATCTGACACAACAAGGTACATTTTCCGAGACCGTTTGAAGCTCCAAACTATCCATAGTAAAAGTGCAAATTATGCTAAGTCATTTCCCCCCAGTTACAGTAAGATTGTGGAATTGTTTGTCTACCGATTATAGAGAAACGTCTACTTTGGGTAGTTTTAAGAAACACATTAATGGGTCAAATAATAATAGTCAAAATTACTTCAATTTAAGCTTTGGAACAAGATTCTGTCAGATTTTCCATTCACGCCTCAGGCTCGGTTGCAGCGATTTAAACGCACATAAATATCAACGGTTTTTATCTTCAAATCCCTCTTGTTCTTGTGGCTACTGTTACGAAGATCCAATTCACTATTTCTTTTCGTGCGTTAATTACACTGACATAAGACATAAAATGTACTTCTATACTAAAGGATATGACATCAAATCAATACTAAACGGCCACTCTAATGGATCTACTAAAGGTAATCTTGAATTATTAGAATCTATCCATTCTTTCATTGTACTGTCAGGCAGATTTGTGTTGTAATGGTAAAAACGAAATTGCACTTACTATTAAGTATTTTCCGACACTAATGGTTCTAATGTTAAAAGCGGCTATATTACAGTTTATGATTGTTACATTTCCAGAAAGCTATTGTTTATCCTTTGTTAATATCATGCTTTTCTCCGCATGATTATTATATCTATAATATATCTGTATTCCAGAGCGGTATTCAGATAAGCACAATACTGCTTGTTTACCAATCCAGTTCCTCTTTTGGAAATAATATGTTTAAACCATATAAAAAGTACAGTTGAGAATGTTGTTCAACACAACTCATACACCTGTGACGACTTGTGGTTTTGCTGCATATTTGTTTCTTTGTTGTTTCACACTCAGAAATATTCCAGCTATATGGTGAAGGTCTGTTGATAATCGAGTCTGGACCAGACAATCCAGTGATGAACATCATGAGTATCAATCTATGTAACTGGGATACAATGACATGTGTCAACCATGTCAGCTGGCATGGAACTGACCAATCAAGCATTAAGAATACAACCAACATAACCAATCTCCACCCAGAACATGTGGGTGCTGGCACATCCAGGAAAGCATCATGTCACAGCTACCTCTATGTCTCAGGCATGATAAAAAAAATTTTCAGGCTGTGTGAATTTCATATATACCAAAGTATCAGACATTATGATAGTGAGTGAGTGAGTTTGATTTTACGCCGCTTTTAGCAATATTCCAGCAATATCATGGCGGTGGACACCAGAAATGGGCTTCACACATTTTGCCCATGTGGGGAATCGAACCGGGTTTGACTTTAACCACTAGGCTACCCCACTGCCCCACATCATGATAGAGTCCCAATTAAACAAAGAACAGTTACATGTCAATGACATAGTATGGGAATCTTGAAAATATTAACACAATGATCACTTTGTGGAATGGGGCCATGGACACCATTCCTCAAAATTATCCTGGTAACTTCAGACCTTCAGAGACTACAGACAGTCATCATACTACCGTCATTTCCCGTATTTAAGCCCACTCAAAAATTGCGCCCATTAGCTACAAAATGGGTTATTTCATCAGCATATATAACGTTTGTAGTGCAGTTAGAGGTTTTCAGGTGTACAGAACGTTTTGGAGTCCCAAGAGAGGTTAGGTACTCTATACTCAAATAGACAATCTCAATCCATATGACTCACACATGGTCGCAATAAAATATGATAATATCATTATTAAAGTTCATTCCATTTTACTGTGTCTCAGAATCATTTTCTTGTTACAAGCATTTCCTGAATTTAAGCCCTGGGCTTAATTATGGCTTTTATTATTTGTTAACGAGAAGGGTCATTTTCCGTTATTAAGCCCAGGGCGTAAATACGGGAAATCCCGGTTGTATGGCTTTGAGAAACAATTGTCTGACGAAAGCAGTGAGCCTAGCAAGGGGTGACAACTCTGCAACATACCTGGCTCTGTGTTGATCAAGCTCATCTCACTCTGTGTTTTCACTGCGAATCCTGTATCAGCTCTTTCAGCCCATCTGCCCTTGGGCTGCTTTGCTGACTCCAGGCTGCGGTCCTTGCTGTCACCGCTGCTGCCGACCATCTACACACATCACACACTTGTAGGAGTCAACATCTCAACATGAGCTCAAAATCTGCACAGAATCTATGCACGCTGAATTCAAATTTTAGCTTGTGCAAAATAAAATAGACAAAAGATATCTTGACCTTAGAGGGACAGTAATCTTGGGTTAATTTGCAGTCCCAGTAAATCTAATTAAAATCAGTCAAAATCCACTCTGATCGTCTGTTAATTCGAACATTAAACAGTCAAACACACAGCTAATGTTTATCCAATGTCTTCTCACATCCACTAGAAATATGTCTACTGGGCAGTATTGGGATCAAAGTTCATCTTTATCAAATTCTATAAGAACACATCGGAACATAAGAACGGGAAATTTCAATGATACAAATTATGCAACTGTAACTAACCTTGGCTTTTGCCCAGTTGGGTAGGGGCCCAACACTGAAGCGATAGTCAGGACCACTCTCCTCGGCTGGAGCTTCATGGTAGTCCTTCTCCAGCATGTCCAGTACGTTGTGGGCAGGCTGGAACTGTTGATGCTCATGTAACACTGGAAAGTTGTCCATGCCGTCGTGGGTGCTGGCCTTGGAAATGATGGCCGTCTCCCTCCTGTGTAGAGGAGAAGTGTGAGCAGATGGTATTTGACAAAGGAGCAGGTGGTAGGGTCTTACAATGACAGTACTAATTGTTTGGACAGGCCTGCAGATGCTGTAGAATTGTATGATTACTAATTGTATCACTGGCCTGGATCAGATGCTGTAGATATCTGTATGATTACTAATTGTATCACTGGCCTGCTGATTACTAATTGTATCAGATATATCTGTATGATTACTAATTGTATCACTGGCCTGGATCAGATGCTGTAGATATCTGTATGATTACTAATTGTATCACTGGCCTGGATCAGATGCTGTAGATATCTGTATGATTACTAATTGTATCACTGGCCTGGATCAGATGCTGTAGATATCTGTATGATTACTAATTGTATCACTGGGATCAGATGCTGTAGATATCTGTATGATTACTAATTGATTGGATCAGATGCTGTAGATATGATTACTAATTGTATCACTGGCCTGGATCAGATGCTGTAGATATCTGTATGATTACTAATTGTATCACTGGCCTGGATCAGATGCTGTAGATATCTGTATGATTACTAATTGTATCACTGGCCTGGATCAGATGCTGTAGATATCTGTATGATTACTAATTGTATCACTGGCCTGGATCAGATGCTGTAGATATCTGTATGATTACTAATTGTATCACTGGCCTGGATCAGATGCTGTAGATATCTGTATGATTACTAATTGTATCACTGGCCTGGATCAGATGCTGTAGATATCTGTATGATTACTAATTGTAATTGATATTGATTACTTAACATCCTCACACAAAAAATACACCTCATTTTCGATCCCAAACTAATCCTCATTGATTATCATTGATATAAATGATGCTGATATTTCACTCTCCAACTATATCATCTCATCATCATAACATTAGAAGCATGGATGAGACATTATTGTTAAGAAGGAACAAATATAAATATATGATGACATCACTTTACTGTTAGTTTACCTAAGGGTGGGACACACTTTGACCTAAGTTCCATGTTGTCATAGAGATATGTCAAGTCCAGTGCATATTTCCTGATTCCTATCTCACCAATTCGTGATATATTACTGACTGACTGACTTTGGTTTTACGCCGCTTTTAGCAATATTCCAGCAACATCACGGCAGGGGACACCAGAAATGGGCTTCACACATTGTACCCATGTAGGGATTCAAACCCGGGTCTTCGGCGTGACGAGCCAACGTTTTAACCATTAGGCTACCCCACCGCCCCTCGTGATATATTAAGATGTAATGGGTGTCTTTATTTCAGCTCTCCTTTTCAGAAATTCATACACAGTACTGTGACTTCAGTAACATGACCAACGTAAACCATGTATTGGATTATGTGAGGCCTCACATATTCCTTCTGTATCAGAACATGCTTTAGGTGGAATAATATCCAGACCATCAAGGGTTACGACAGTCTGTACACGTTGTAGTAGACTAAGGCTTAGTCTCTGAATACATATAATTTTGATAGTAACAAACAAGCCCATTTAAATTGAAAAGGAGCCCCAGGGAGACCAGAGATTCAGAACCTGAACCTGGAGAAATCTAGACTTGCTTCGTGTAGGGCTTTAGCACTACAGGGAAGGCTAGGCTGTAGGGAAAATAATGTGGTTCAGGGACTGTGAGACAGACTAACGTTGTAGCTATGTACCCACTATATAAGTTGTAATTTAGCCCTACCTGATATCACTGACAAACTGCAGGTCCTTGGGCATCTTGCCAAGTTCCTCCATTCTGTTCTTCATCTGCTTCGTCATTTCCGATGGCAGACGCCACACAAATATACAACTGGAACAGCATGGATGAAACAGATGTAGATCTATGTCAACTAGGATCAATAACTCTATCACCAGGGTAGCACATTTGTCCCAAACAGGAATTTGCTTATTCATTGGACAGCTCCAGCGTAATAGCCTCGTATGCATCAAATAGGCGAATTTTTAAACTCTATTTGTTTATTTCATTCAAATTTTACAGGCAATTTTACCACATCTTAAAGGAGTGGATTTTTACCTAGTGTTGACCAGACAATCCAGTGATGGGCATAGGGTGCGATAATTCATACCTTTCAGGTACAATCTAGTAATCAATCCAGTCACCCAATTCATTATTCCCCGCCCAAGACAAGCAAAGGCTGCTTGTCAATCCATTATTCCCATTTAGGCTGACTGGATTAATCATTATCTGCTAAAATGTCTTAAGAATGAAAGTAGAGTCAGTCTTACCCATCGGCTGACACTGAGATCACATGTTTGAGATCATTCATAAACTTGATTCCAGTAATGGTCTCGGAATGTCCATACATGTTGGCCACCAGCTCACCGCTGTAGAAGTCCACGATACAAATATTCTTGTCTGTGCAGCTGGTGGCAGCATAGCATCCAGACGGATCCAGCTGAATCCGTAACAGCACGCCATCGTCTGTTAGCGAGCCCTTGTAATTCTTCTTCTGTTTGGCTGTGCGGATATTATAGATTCTGAAGAAAATAAATGGTTCATAGTTAAGAACAACTTATAGCATTGAGGTTGCAGCGTCCTTAACAAAATTATTTGCAGCTGTGTTTGATCTCTTTACTTGTTGTACAAGAGTGCACTCAGCAGTCATTCAGCTATATGAGTGAGAGAGTTTAGTTTTACGCCGCACTCAGCAATATTCCAGCTATATGGCAGCGGTCTGTAAATAATTGAGTCTAGACCAGACAATCTAGTGATCAACAGCATGAGCATCGATCAGCGCAATTGGGAACAGATGACATGTGTCAACCAAGTCAGCAAGTCTGACCATCCGATCACGTTAGTCACCTCTTAAGACAAGCATGGGTTACTGAAGGCTCATTCTAACCCAGACCTTCACGGGTCCATTCAGCTATATGACCGCGGTCTGTAAATAATCAAGTTTCAACACTGATCTATTCAATTAGAACAAAATGACAACGGAGTCACCGAGCCTGACCATCCGATCCTGTTTGTTGCCTCCTTCAACATGCACTGGGTGCTGAAGATCAATTCTAACCTCTATCTTCAATCCTCATCATCTGCAGTTGTGAGATTTAAAACCTGAATCCAAGAGGCGTCAGTAACCCTCGGACGTTGTATTGTACACTTACATTGTACACCGGAGAACTGAAGATTCCCGATGGAAGGAGATTGACGTACCTGACGTTTCTGTCCTGACAGGCTGTAGCTACAAACTTCTGCGTGGGATCGGTCACCATATCATACAGCGTGGCCTTGCTGACCAGGTGCTGGTCAAGACTGAACTGGAATTCTGGACTCTACAAAGAGACAACATAAGTACTACATTATCAACATGTTTTTCTGTTTCTTTTCAAGTCCTGCAATAATTAAGCCAACTTCAAAACCATTTTTTACTTTCTGAAAATGGTACAGTACATTTTGTACTTTTCAACATATTCTAGTTTCATCCCTAAATTTTATCAGAGTTTTCACAGACACAATTTACTCAACTCACCCAACAAAACTTCAGACTTTGTGAGTGAGCGAGAGAGTGAATGTGGTTTAAGTCTGTTTGCCTTGGTACATGCACATCACAGGGGGCTGAACATGATCATGAGAAAAACTAATGGTTGATAGCATGAGCACTGACTCAAGCCATCAAGTCATGATAGCAAGCAGTCAGTAAGGTCGTCTACAGTAACCACCTGCCCTTGGTCTCACGAATGGAGATGGATATAATGTCTGGTAGTGGAAGATGGACATACCTGTATTGCGTTACGAAACAGCAGAGACTTATCTGCTCCACAACTCAGCATCTTCAGCTGGTTATCTTGGTCTGTGAAGCGCACAGCCTGAATGGATGCCGAGTGATCGTCCAGGGTCTGCAGGAGGCCATAGTTCTGTTCCACATCGAACACGTGAATCAGACGATCTCGACTAGCTGATGCCAGAACTTTGGGTCCTGCATGGTCAAGCGGTACATTTTAACATAGGAATATGTTTTGAAGAAAGCATGTTTCAGGTGATAGTATGAAACTAATAGGGATGCCACGATACATCGATGCTTTGATACTTTTTCGTAGATACAATTATTGATACATTCAAAACTGTATCGATATTTAGTTTTGAAAGTATAGGTTTAAATATGTTTATCTATCGTTTACATTTTGCAATTGTATCATGTTGTTTTATGTTATGAGAGTTATAAATGATTATTTTTCATGCACAAAGATGGGAAATTAGAACTTTTTAATCTCTGAGAATAAAAAATGTTGATCTTTTCATGGACAATTATAAAATATGAAATATTAATGTTCAAAATGTAACTAAATTTTTGCAATAATGCTGCGAAAATAGGTATCGTGATACGTATCGAATCGTGACATGGGTATTGTGATACATATCGATTCATGAAACTTGTATCGTGACATCCCTAGAATCTAAAGACAGAAGCTGTTTACCAAATGCTGGAAGACAAATCAGTTATAACTGATTTATCCAAGATATTTGTATAGAGTTGCAGACGGCATGAGGTGGTATAGTATGGCAAAGGCTGAATTGATTTCAGTGTGCTCAGTTTGTTCCTTTTGTGCAAGGAAATTATCTTTGTTGATGAAATGACAAATACTGTTACAGAGTGATATCAAGGGAGACAACTCTTGCATACTTGTCGCTTACCTTGTTTGGAGTAAGAGTATTCTAAGCACAACACATCTGCTTCATGAGCCTCTATATCTCGAATCAAATCCATATATTCAGTATCATATACCCTGAAATAATCAAATGAAGCCATGAGAAAACACAAACTTGTAATTTATAATTATACCCTCAACACATATACAAAGCCTTGTTGTAACAATGCCGTGTTCTTTCTCTTGAAAACTAACTGGAGACATTCAGTACTGAATTGATGTGAATTAATTTTGTCTTTAAGTTATTGTTTTTATGTTCTCATTCTCCATAATCATTTTCACATCCATTTTAGATTTGATCTCTGTCATTCTCACATAGTTAAAACTGAATGATTCATAAAGAAGCCATATTGTCATCACTTTCATAGAAATTTCATTTATTCTGCTGTAGATATATATGAAACACTAGACTAAAATAATCGAAATCAGTAAAGTTCTCTTTTTCCAAAGACAAAAACACTGAATAGGTCCCATCATGATGTTTGTGAACTTGTTACCTGAGATTCCCAAGTTTGTCTCCAGCAGCCAAGTGAAGGCCATCAGGACTGACTCGTATAGATCGGATACCGTTCTTCACATCATACTGGGTGTCAGTCTTGTCCGCACCCCCAGCTACAACATGACAAAAAGAATAATGTGTACTCTCACTTGTCTGTGCAAATGTTAGCCATATGACAAATGGTGGGATAATAAAAAAAGAACTTAAAACTTGAAAGCAGGTTAGGGGTTAGATGTCTGATTGGCATTTTAGAAGATGCTATTTAATGAACATAGAGAATTTTCTGTGGTTCATCTATAAAACAATAAAAAGACTGACTGACTGAGTTTGGTTTTACGCCGCTTTTAGCAATATTCCAGCAACATTACGGCGGGGGACACCAGAAATGGGCTTCACTCATTGTACCCATGTGGGGATTCAAACCCGGGTCTTCGGCGTGAAGAGCCAACGCTTTAACCACTAGACTACCCCACCGCCCCCAAAAAGAAGACGGAACCCAGAAATTCTCTATGTTCAGGTTAGGGGTTGAACTTCATCTCAATATGCAGAGCAAATGTCTCCAACAAAAGAACAAATAAACACAAACATGACATGAGGGATGAGTCTTGTAGAAATTGATCTGGAAAGTTCATCTATAGATCTGATAAAAACCAGCTATAATGATCATGACAGATGGGCCCATACAGAAATATACTACAGTAAAATAACGTTTGCCCTTAAAATCACTTGAATCTACACTAATATATTCTAACATTAGACCTGAGGACAATTATTTCCTCATATTCTGCACTTGTGTCTAATTTCTGTTGGTTCTGTGTTGACAAAATGTGTTGTTTGTTCACCTGGATTGTAGTCGACATCACAGAGGTTTGTGTGCCCCTCATCTGCATAGATTATCTTCAGCAAATCCTGGAAAGCAAGCAAGATGACCATTATGCAGTACAGTACAAAATGGAATACTGCAACATCACATCAGCTCTAGTACACCTGTAAAAGCCATCTCACCCTGCCCAAACTGTGTTCATCATTTTAAGTGCAATACTGAATAAATATTTTAATTTCTCCATGCCGACTTACTCTCATGACTTTGTAAGCAACTTAAAGACACTATATCACACCATCAATACAATATTCAGTATTTAGATTACAATATTAAATGAAAATGTTCGAATGAATTAATGCAAAGTTGCATTAAATCAACTGAACATTATTTCAAGCTAACCCCACAGAGTAATGTCCCTTGGAGCGCTCTTTATGAATATCCTACACACAACTTGTGATTGAAACCAGTTAGGCAAACACCCACAAGAGCCCATGCGACAGTTTTCGATGTACGGAGCAATTGTTTACATTCCATATATGGCAAGTGTTCTCTGTTTGGAAGGTATTTGACTTACATTTCAATTATCGATTTCAGGCAAGTTGTAAGGTATAATAAGTCTTTTATTGCATCAATAGGAAGCTAAAGTGAGTGCATATGCCCCATTTGTCAAAATATTGTCTAAAATGTGTGACACTGTGCCTTTAAGGAGATAAGAAATCATTAAAGCTTCCTTCATTAGTTTATGAATGCTTCAAACACATCTTGAATATTACCATTTCATACCATTCATTACAGTTCTATCGATTCCTATATCAAAATCTGATCATGAAATCACAATTCCCGGACCATGTTAAGTACCATCTGAAACAAGCCAACTTGCTGAACCATCTTCACTTACATGGCTGTATATATTCCTCTTATATGTTGTTTTATCCTGCATGTGAGAGTCGAGATTCCACACCCGAACTGTGTCGTCGCTCGACCCCGTCAAGAAGGACCCTGGAGGTAGAGTGGCCTTGATGTTCTCCTCCAGCATGGGGTACACCTGGAAGTGGACAGTTTGTCAAATGTCGCATTTCTTTTACCAGATTTGACAGTTCGCTTTACAATTGGTTCAGAAAACAACAAAACTCAGACTGGTTCAACTTTTGAAAAATTGGAGGTACATGTACCTAACTCCCAGTACACAAGCCAGAAAAAAAGCTGTGCATTGTTAGCATTCTTTCTAAATTTGACTTCCTATGTGCATAGTTTCTTTTTTCAATGGGATGATGCACTGACTGCAAGCCACAAGATTATCATCTTAGCCTCAATCCTTTCAATGAGCAAAACTAAGCACAAAATATGAAAACCATGTCAGCCTGGTCAAGTTAGTATCTGGTAATAGTTTATCCATATTTAAAGTACAACAAGGAGACACCAGGAAAGTTCTTCACACCCTGCTACCATGTGGGGAACTGAAACCAGGCCTTTGGTGTGACGAGCACTGTAACCACCAGGCTACCCCACTGGTCCTCAGTAGAACAGCAAGTGTCGAAGTAACTTTTAGTAAAATATAAATAAGTGTTCGTTTCAAATGATTGAACATGAGAGAATACTTACCTCCAGTGACCATACACAAGAGCTGTGGTAGAGCACAGAGTAGGCCTTGCCGACCTTCTTGATGTCGTGGACATCCCACTGGTATAAGCTGTGGTCGTTGTAGACACAGGTTACCTGTACAACACATGTACACCTTGTACACTCAGGTATTGATAAGCATACTGCTCAAAGGAAGTTAAAGAACTCTATAGTTAAGTTGTCATGGCTGATAGGCATCGTAACACACAGCATTCAAATGGTGGGTGTTCTTTAACATGTTCTGAACAGTATTTTACATTTTTTTGAAGAAATCAACACTACACTCTCATAATGTTCTAAACTGAGTAGCGCCAAGCCTGTGACTGAGTAGCGCCAAGCCTGTGACTGAGTAGCGCCAAGCCTGTGGTTAATGGCATGAGCAAAAACACGGTTGAGTATGACAAAAGGTGACCGCTAGTTCTAATTTTCAGCAGAAAAGGTGTGTTGCAAGCTTGAAGACCTATCATGGACAGGGATTTGTAGCCAATCTTCTTGATTGTTTCAGAGAGACTAATACATTCTGATAGCAGGTGTTTAAATCTCGATAATTTGTTACAATACCGGAACACAAAGAGGCCTATTCTCATAATTAAATGTGTTCTTGAAACCTAATGTTTGATACAACACCTATAAATTGGTCATCAAGTTTTATACACACAGACATATACCAAGAACTTTTACATAAGTCACCAAAAACCATGATTATTATTTCAATACTAGACTATTCCATATATACTCATACCTTCTTATGGTCGTCGTCAAATGCAACAGCTATTGTATCAGGGTACTTAGCATCTTCTTTAGGGAATTTCATTTGGCTGAAAGAAAAATAGTTCCAACACTTCAGATTTTGTTCATCCATGAGGTAAACTTTGATTTCTACTAAACAAAGTCCCCTGGCCATATTTCTAAAACTAGGCTTATTAGTTAAGATATAATTTCACGATGTAATTTTAAAAAATACTTTGCAGTTTAAATATGAAATGGACTCGAAAAGCCAGTTAAGCTATCATGACAAAATTTAAACTTTGTGAAGCTAGATGAGAGCATTTCCCCCTTTATATATATTCACAAATTGCCCTGAATCATGTAAGTAGTTTTCACACTAACAGTACAATAAAGTGAGAACTCGACATACCTCTGACTGGTGGCGGAAGACACGTCTACTCCCAGGTAGTGGGGATGAGGTAGTGAGGTCAAGAAATGAAGGGACTTAGCACTGAACACTCTCACGATGCCGTCGGCACATCCGATAAATATGTGGTCCTCTCCCCCACTGATGGATGTGGCACACTTTGTCTGAGGAAAACGTACATATGGTCAGAAACTATGTAATGAAATGATTAACTAGATCATGGGAGAAATCAATCAGTTATTTGAGATTTACAATGGGTAAGTTGTGGCTTTGGTAATGTTAGATATCAGGAACACAGTCTTCCACACCGAATAGTCCTTCTGTAACTGTGACGTTTCATTGGTCATACTGTTGGTGAACGGAACATACACTGGTTTGATAAAGTAGTTATTTCACTGTTTATTGGTCATAGGGGTGATAACTTGTGTACACTTACATCTAGTCATAGTAATGATGATTTTAATAACAGAGTATTGCATACACAAGGCAATCTGTGCCCAAAGCCTTTTGAGTCTACCAGCCATATATGAACACATATTTGTCATTATTTTAATGTTGTTCATCCTAAAATTAGGACCAGAAGGACAGTCACAGACTTTTAATATATTCGACAAGTACAAGGGCTCAATATTGGACGGTATCCAGATCACAGACTGCAACTGAACTTAAAACAAGGGCTCTACGTACAACACGGCCATGATGCTACAGACAGCTTGTGTATTCTCTCAATCCAAGACCTCAAAGTAATACACGGATAGAAGGTCACAGACTACAGAAGTCACTCACCCGGAGCTCCACCCACTTGACCAGCAAGCGTTTGGCGTTGAACTCACAGAGCAGCCCCGACTGTGTGATGCAGAACGTGCTGCCGGCCATCTGGCCACGCCCACACAGGACACCGCAGAAGAAGTTGTTCTTCTGGTCACTGAGGAGACCTGACCGACCCTGTAGAGGCACCGTCTCGTTGATCTGAACAAAAGGAATACAAGATTAAAATTACATTCAGGGGGAAAAAGTAGCACTGTAATTTGGCAACGTAACAGAAAATTGTTTGCTCAAAAACCTCACGTCTGCTACTGACTGACTGAGTTTGGTTTTACGCCGCTTTTAGCAATATTCCAGCAACATCACGGCGAGGACACCAGAAATGGGCTTCACACATTGTGCCCATGTGGGGATTCGAACCTGAGTCTTCGGCGTGACGAGCCAACGCTTTAACCATTAAGCTACCCCACCGCCCCTTCATGTCTGCTAATTTCTTGACATGTGACATCTTGACAAAAGGAAGGCGTTATACTACTTTCATCTATATTCCGAAAAATATCCTGGAAAGGTGCAACGGAAATAGGCTCTGCACAACATATTCTGAAATCATATTTTCAAGTGTCCAACACTGTAACAATACAGATGTTCCTGAACAACAAGATTATTCTTCGACATTATTTAAAATATTCAGAAATTATAGCTACTTCAAACAGAGTGGAATTTCAAGTCTTTAATAAGTGTGAACACTTGGTACTGAATGCATAACAAATGAAGGCTCAGCTGCAAACATATCCTCCTCACCCTAGACTTGCTGCTTTCGAGATACCAGAACTTGACATGTCGGTTGCCCACCGTCACGAAGTAGCTGCCGTCATGGCTGAATGCCACGTTGCTCACCTAAAACAAACACAAGATGATTTACATGTATTGTCTATTTAACTGATATCAAATCCTAGGTTTGTTTTTGAACACTGCACCCAGCAACGTTCCAGCTGATCAAGACTGGGCTAAGCAATCTAAAGACTGATATCATGAGCATGGATCTATCCCAAGGCTGAGTGAGTTGGGTTTACGCCGCTTTTAGCAATATTCCAGCAATGGCAGGGGACTCCAGAAATTGGCTTCACACATTGTACCCATGCGGGGATTCGAACCCAGGTCTGATGAGCAGACTCTTTAACCATGGGGCTACCCCACCCCACCCTCAGCCCAATGGGGAAGTGATGAAATCAAGTCAGTGACCCTGACCACCTGCTCGTGTCATTCACTTGTATGGCAAGCAAGGGCTGTTGAAGTGCAGCTCTAACCCAGATCTTGATAGGGTTTAAAATCCTGGGTGGCTGATGTAAAAAAATATGCTGTAATTATCTAAACTTAATTTTGTAATTATCTAAACTTAATGGACATATATACTGTTATACTGACCTTGCATGAGAACTTATTGGATGCGACCTTGTTTCCAGACCGCCAGTTCCACACATTGATTATCATGTCATGCTGGGTGCCAACAGACACAAGGTACCGCAGATTTGGTGAGAATGCCTGAAACAACACACTAACAACTGAAGCAAACCCAGGAAGCATTATTGTTTTGTTGTATAAAAGCCACACTGAACCTTTATTCATTCTGTATCCTGCAACATATATATAACATTATGCTATTAGTGCTGCAGTAGATAAGGAGCCGAATTCCCTTGCCTTTCTCAACATGCATTACACAAGTACAACTGATGGAATTACTAGTCATTATGCTAATTTAAGGTAAATTATACATTAACCATAACGTGGTATAAATCAGTGAAATGACTTAAATCTGTTGATTAGTGTAGATGAAGCTACTTCTGGAAGCAACAGATGTGAGCAATTTACCCATTATGAAACACCAAACATAATCAATTCTGGCCTGAATCATTCATGTATTATTATAAAATCTCAATTCTTCCTTCAAACCATTTGCAACCACAAAGTTACATTTCGAATATGAATGACATGATGCTGTCTTCCAATCAATTTGCACAATGATGCAAGGAAAACTCTGTGGAGAGAGTTACTGATGGAGATGAGAATGTGATGCAAGGAAAACTCTGTGGAGAGTTACTGATGGAGATGGGAATGTGATGCAAGGAAAACTCTGTGGAGAGAGTTACTGATGGAGATGAGAATGTGATGCAAGGAAAACTCTGTGGAGAGAGTTACTGATGGAGATGAGAATGTGATGCAAGGAAAACTCTGTGGAGAGAGTTACTGATGGAGATGGGAATGTGATGCAAGGAAAAGGAGAAACTCTGATGGAGAGAGTTACTGATGGAGATGAGAATGTGATGCAAGGAAAACTCTGTGGAGAGAGTTACTGATGGAGATGGGAATGTGATGCAAGGAAAACTCTGTGGAGAGTTACTGATGGAGATGGGAATGTGATGCAAGGAAAACTCTGTGGAGAGAGTTACTGATGGAGGAGATGTGATGCAAGGAAAAGAGAGAGAATGATGATGCAAGGAAAACTCTGTGGAGAGAGTTACTGATGGAGATGGGAATGTGATGCAAGGAAAACTCTGTGGAGAGAGTTACTGATGGAGAGGAGAATGTGATGCAAGGAAAACTCTGTGGAAACTCTGTGGAGAGAGATACTGATGGAGATGAGAATGTGATGCAAGGAAAACTCTGTGAGAGAGAGTTACTGATGGAGATGAGAATGTGATGCAAGGAAAACTCTGTGGAGAGAGCTACTGATGGAGATGGGAATGTGATGCAAGGAAAGAGTTACTCTGTGGAGAGAGATACTCTGTGAGAGAGTTACTGAGAATGTGATGCAAGGAAAACTCTGTGGAGAGAGATACTGATGGAGATGAGAATGTGATGCAAGGAAAACTCTGTGGAGAGAGATACTGATGGAGATGGGAATGTGATGCAAGGAAAACTCTGTGGAGAGAGTTACTGATGGAGATGAGAATGTGATGCAAGGAAAACTCTGTGGAGAGAGATACTGATGGAGATGAGAATGTGATCCTAGGAAAACTCTGAGAAGCGAGTTACTGATGGAGATGGGAATGTGATGCAAGGAAAACTCTGTGGAGAGAGTTACTGATGGAGATGAGAATGTGATGCAAGGAAAACTCTGTGGAGAGAGATACTGATGGAGATGAGAATGTGATGCAAGGAAAACTCTGTGGAGAGAGTTACTGATGGAGATGAGAATGTGATGCAAGGAAAACTCTGTGGAGAGAGTTACTGATGGAGATGGGAATGTGATGCAAGGAAAACTCTGTGGAGAGAGTTACTGATGGAGATGAGAATGTGATGCAAGGAAAACTCTGTGGAGAGAGTTACTGATGGAGATGGGAATGTGATGCAAGGAAAACTCTGTGGAGAGAGATACTGACGGAGAGGAGAATGTGATGCAAGGAAAACTCTGTGGAGAGAGATACTGATGGAGATGAGAATGTGATGCAAGGAAAACTCTGTGGAGAGTTACTGATGAGAGATGCAAGGAAAACTCTGTGGAGAGAATGTGATGCAAGGAAAACTCTGTGGAGAGAGTTACTGATGGAGATGGGAATGTGATGCAAGGAAAACTCTGTGGGAGAGTTACTGATGGAGATGAGAATGTGCAAGGAAAACTCTGTGGATGGAGTTACTGATGGAGATGAGAATGTGATGCAAGAGAAAACTCTGTGGAGTCCAGGAGATGAGAATGAGTCCAGGGTAAAAAGCCCTGGAATGGAGTCTGATGGTACTGAATGTGGACTGGAAAACCTGTCCAGTGTTACATACCGCACAGCTGATGCCAAACTTGTGGCCGTGGAACTCTGCCACTTGTGTTCTCTCCACATCCCATAGATAGGAATGGCTGGTGACCACACTGAAACACAGAGATACTCTATAACACCATTATATCCCACACCCGCACAGCTGGCTGGTGACCACACTGAAACACAGAGATACTCTATAACACCATTATATCCCACACCCGCACAGCTGGCTGGTGACCACACTGAAACACAGAGATACTCTATAACACCATTATATCCCACACTCTGTGGAGAGTTACTGATGGAGATGAGGATGTGAGCTGGCTGGTGACCACACTGAAACACAGAGAGTCCTCTATAAAGCCCTTATATCTGGTGGTACTGTTGGACTGGCTCCAGCTGGCTGGTGACCACACTGAAACACAGAGATACTCTATAACACCATTATATCCCACACCCGCACAGCTGGCTGGTGACCACACTGAAACACAGAGATACTCTATAACACCATTATATCCCAGGGGTTTACCTTGCACTACAAGAACAGGGGTTGGAGAAGACCCCAAATTACTAATTACTGGGATCCACATAGGAAATATAAGGATCCTTTAAAGTAATGAAGTAGTGTAGAGTACTGTAGTGTAAGATGTAATGATCATATTTATAACAGGAACTTTACATTTCTGGTTGAGAGTTTGGTTCAGTGTATATTGCTGTGAGTTCCTTGGGACGCAACATATAACTTTTCTGTGACAATTACATACATGTGTGTGTACTGGATGATATTTCCATGTCACTTAAAACCCTGATATCCACAATCTACTCATGGAATGTTTGAGTGATGGACAGTTGTTTAACAATCTTGAACATGTGAGGAAGCATGTTTAGAAATACTCTGCTTTATCCTGACAGCCTGCCTGTCAATGTGTCTGATCATACAAATGACTGACTGAAAGTCTACATATTGACCAACAGAGAACACATTCTGCCACATTACAGAGTCTGACCATCAGATCCCAAGTTTAGTCGACAGTTTTGTCTGTTTCTCAGTTTCTGAAACATATTTTCCACTCCATCCAGCCCTTTCTGCAAAGCAAAACCCTAAAAGAAAGCAAGTCAGATTTTCCTCAGGTTCAGAGTCTGAATCTCCCATCTCAATCTCCTTGTCTGCCTCAGTCCCTCAAAAGCTTCCTCCCATACACAGGGCCCTTTCTGGAGCTCTACATGCAGTAAGTCTAGATTTCCGCAGGTCGGCCATCTTATTGGGGCTTTTTTAAAATTTAAAGGAGTTACACAGAACATGACATGAGACACAACAACTGAAAGAGTCCCTATGTACAGTGCTACAGTTATTCATTTCTTGTCGGTCCAACAAAGTTTCCCTATCATGTGATAAGATCAGACCGGGACAGCGCCTGATTAGCCTGAAACCGAAGCAAGGCAGGAACAAGATAAGATGCCAGTACACCTGAGCCAATAAAGCAGGACTTTCTAGAAGGCCATTATTCCCAAATTAGTTGGAGGTTGAATAGTATCCAAGATTCCACAACTGACACAGTTAAACTATGGGACTTGTCACTCACACTTACCACTTCCTAATTATCCTCACTCTCTAAATACAGAACATGTTTCTTTTTCATAATTCACTCAGCATTTAAAGTCATCTAAAAAACTAACTTGGAATGTCTCGTTCTGCCTGTTCTGTCTGCAGCATAGCTATTGTCATATACACTATATATTACTAGATAATAATACTACATATAAGTTTATAAAGTTAAATAAGCTTCGTTAAGATTTGAAAAATATATATAAATGTGTGCTGTGAGGTGAGGTGAAATTGGGTTTTACGTCGTGCTTGAGAATATTTCGCTCATATGACGATGTGCATGTATGTGTATGTGCGGCTGCTTGTACTAGCCCAGACTTAAGCTGGTTTTATAGTGCTAGCCCACCGAGATACCATGCCGCAGTGAAGCATGAATACCCCACTCAGACACATTATACTGACTCCGAGCCGACCAGTCCTTGTTGTACCCATTAAAGCCGAGCGCCAGGCTGGGACCAACAAGTACCATATTTTAACGTCTTTTGGTATGACGCAGTCGGGGATCGAACCCACGACCTGCTGCTCTCCGGGCGAAATGTTTGCTGTAATTTGATTGGTTAGAAATAGAATTAGAATCAGATCCCAAAATCTTTGAAGACCTATCATTGTATCTGATTACAATTAAATGGGTAATATACTACTCAAAATAACTAAAACAACACCAGAATCTTTCATATTTCTACAGTTAATCTGTCATGGTATGAGAGGTTATCTCAAAATACTGAAATAACTGGTTACTCTTAACTTCTTTTGTGCAGTATATATCTATTCACTACTTTCTCCTCACCATCATGGGTACGTATGAATAACCCCATTGTTTTACAAAATGTAAGAAAATTTATGGAACTTGTAGTCACATTTCATGACACTTAAGCCTATTGTTTACGACATCTTCAGAGATGGAGCTTACTGACTGGTCTTGTCCTCTCCTCCATGTTTCTCACAGTGTTGGAATACAAAACATGCATGATTATCATGACAGGTTATTTCAAGTTCCACTTAATGATGCATCATACCATCTTCTTGATGCCATATCAAATTTAGACAGGGGAGGTTCTTGTTTTCACTTATCTCTCATTAAACTTGAAAATATAAACTTGTTTCCCCTACAAAAAGATCTGATGATGTCAAGTCTACATTTCTGGATTGGGGATTCTAGTCTTTGGATGGCTACCAATTTTTTTCAAAGGTTTGTGCACTTTTCAGACCTACTTTTAGCATTTCAAAACAAATCCAAAGCAAGTTAATCGGGATCAACAATATCATTAGATAATGTCACTCATCAAGCCTCCAAGGTTACTTAACTGTTCTATACTGAACCTCCAAGCCTACACACCCCAAAATACATCTAGTTCGACTTTCTCATGGCAAAATACCAATACCGCCAGTTTCCAAAAACTATTATTCCCCATTCTTGTGGCGCCACAAAAAGCACCAGCTTCTCTTTGAGGTTACCAGCCGAGATTTCGGTCTCAGCCAATAAAACTTGAACTAACAGACTCAGCTGTGTAAGAGATTGGTCTTCCAATTAAACCTTGGACTTAAAAAGTGAAAGCATGTAACTTCAGCAAGTGGAGAAAAACTTTTGGTAAATGTTACTCGTCTGGGATATATCAGGATTATCCAAGGGAACATGAGTGAACTTGATACTTTCCTTTTAAATTTTTTCTGTTTGTTGTCTAAACACTAAATCATGTAAGCTTATTTTGAATTCATCAGTAAGGAATGATGTGCAAGGTCCTGAAATCTCTTCCGATGCTAGATTCTCTATGGACATTTTCTTTCTCACGCATGCATAGTTCATAAGTTGTAGTATGATAAACAAAAACAGTTAAAACCCCTTTCTGCTGATCTTCCTCTGTTTGCCTGCAAGTGATGCTGTCAGGTAGCTTAACCTGCTCTATATACTGTTTTCCCTTTGCATCACAGTTCAGCCTTTTTGTATAAAATGTCCAATGGCATTGCAGCAAATGTGTTGTTGTCTATGTGTAGCAGGAACAAGAAACACAACTGTCTACGGATGGACAAATTAGGCAAAATATTAACCGAGTAGTCTCTCTTACGGACCAAGGGCATTATATAAATAAAGACATTCTAGCACCCATGCCCCCCAATTCCACTTTCAGCTTCATCACCCAATACTCATCCCTTGTCAGCTCTGAGGAAAATTAGAGACTTGGGTTGAGTTGAGTTGAGTTGAGTTGACTTGAATTTTACGTGACATCAGCATTATAGAGACTTGGGAATTCCTTACTATATGAAAAGTTTCTTCTTAGAATGATTTGTGTTTGAACTTTAAAGTAACTTTACCTCAGGGACTAAGTTAGCCTCCTAGACAAGCATCAGCCCTCTAGGCATTGTTTATACCCAGAAGCCATTTGGACTGCTCAATACTCATTTTATAATTGTTGACAGCATTCTGAATATCGTTCTTAGAACTTATCATTACTTAAATATATCATTAATGTTTCTGAAACATAACTAGTTTGAAAATACAAGACTAGGTGAGTGAGTGAGTGAGTGAGTGAGTGAGTGAGTGAGTGAGTGAGTGAGTGAGTGAGTGAGTGAGTGAGTGAGTGAGTGAGTGAGTGAGAGATTATTGCAAAATGCCACACTCAGCATTTTTGTGTGGATTGTAAATAATTGAATCTGGACCAAACAATCCACTGTCCTCAGGGTACGATGACACCATTAACTAAGTCATGGAGCCCGGCCATGCAATCAGTTACATTGCCTTTTCTGACCAGCATTGCTCTTTGTCCTGACCAAATGGAAACCAATGTACTATACCCATTCCATCTCCTTTAATGAGCGTGTGAGTTTGGTTCCAGACCATTTTTAATAGCACTCCAGTCAAGGGAGCAAAACCCTGTGTGAAGGTCACAAACACTTCTATGAAACCCAAGTATGGTGATTTTGGTGCAGATCCAGTCACAGCCAAGGGAAACAACTCAACAGATCAAATTATGGGGCCTGGAATCATTTGGCCATATGTGTACAAGGAAAATATTCAAAGATTTCAAATGTTCTACAAATGTTAAAGAAACTTACTTCTCCTGTTACGAGATGCTTTCCGTCCCCAGAGAAAGCTAGAGATGTGATTGATTTCTTGGAGTTGTTGATAATGTGCGTCTGTTTGTTTCTCCGAGTGTTGAAGAGCACCACTGAGCACCTGATAAAGAGAGATTCAAACACTGATTACATGGCACATGTGATCACAATACACACAAGCAAAACACAGATTATATCAGGCGCTATTAGCCATCCTCTACATGCTGCCTGCCTTCCAGGAATCAGTCTCAGATTCACCTGTAGATACTCTCTGATGTTGTATGCTTGACAGCTAACACAATCAAACTTCACATGTGAGACTTGCAAATAGCTATATTTGAATGGCATGTGTTAATATCAAATAAAGTCTTCACAAATGTCAGATACTAATAGAATGGTTGTCAGATTTATTGACATTGGCAGGCACATTTCAGTCGAATGGAAAGAATGTACCCGATCAAGCACCTTACTGGTATAAGCTGCAAGATACAGTATTGTATTGAGGATCTGTATAAAGGCTATGAATCTAACTTGACTTATTAAGGGAACAGATCACAGGTAAGCAATGGCTTAAGGTACATCTGAAACTAAGCAATACATCTTCTTTAAGTGGCATTTAGAAGCTGGAATGATGAAGAGGAACACTTTATTATGGATGGACAACTTCTTTGTTGCAATAGATGCCACATTTCGGTGTAGATCCGAACACCGTTATCAAGCAAGTAATACTTTAAGAACAGTTTCACACCAAACACCTCACTGTGTAAGCAATACAATGTATATGTTTATGGGAAACTAATTCAAGAGATGCCTAAAAACTGATTTCCCGATTTCAGACATTGGTTTGTCAATTTGAGGTGAGTGATTGAGTGAGTTTAGTTTTACACCGCACTCAGCAATATTCGAGCTATATGACAGCAGTCTGTACATAATCGAGTCTGGACCAGACAATCCAGTGATCAACAGCATGAGCATCTATCTGCATAATTGGGAACCGAAGACATGCGAGCAAGCATGACCACTCGATCCCATTATTCGCTTCTTACGACAAGCATGGGTTGCTGAATGCCAATTCTACCCCAGATCTTCATGGGTCTTGTCAGTTTGAGGTGATAGCTTGGGGAAAGAGTTAAGTCTTGCAGATCATCAACATGTAAGTCAAGGGCACAGGCAGGGTGACGAGAGATCAAATATTTCGTGGGATCTTGTCCGCCACCAGCAAACCCTGCCACTGCTAAAAGACACAGAGCTTTGTTTGTGTTTTTAAATGCCACACAATTACAGGTACATGAAAATGGCATGTAAGTAGTTGAGTCTGGGCCACCAGATAATTCAGTGATCGATAAGCAATGATCCACACCTTCTGGGTCCAAGGACACTGGAAACCAAGGTTCACCACGGTTCCATTTGGTCACCTAGACTGCTGGTACTATGTTAAAACTATGGAACGTACAATCACCTTAGCCTTAAGATAGCTAACTTGGAAGTCCCATATGGATGGAACAACAAACATGCATACCCTTCTGATTAATTATGTGTTTCCTCTTACATCCAACATATTCACCTACTCGGGGCGGTGGGGTAGCCTAATGGTTAAAGCGTTGGCTTGTCACGCCGAAGACCCGGGTTCAAATCCCCACATGGGCACAATGTGTGAAGCCCATTTCTGGTGTCCCCCGCCGTGATGTTGCTGGAATATTGCTAAAAGCGGTAAAACCAAACTCAGTCAGTCAGTATTCACCTACTCAGACAATGTTTTACCTCTAACAGAAACTATAGCTGTGAATATTCAAAGAGATTCTTTCTGTTACTGTATTACATATGTGACACTGTCGAGGAGTTTATCTCTGTCAATACCCTGGTAGGTTAATAAGCAATCTGTCTACTAATGATACTGCTACTACTACTATTCTCATCACTATACAACATAATTAAAGGGTGCTGTCCTATATTAAAGGATGATGTGAGTCTAAAGGTACGTGGAATGTGAAGTGTAACCTATTTTACCACATTCACCATGTTGAGGGTCTTTGTTCTCATTTAAAATGAAGGCAAATTACTTTTAAAGAATGTTGGTTGAATTTGGGTCATAGAAACTTGGCCAATACCCTGGCTGTCATTGTACAAGTGATCTTAGGTGATAATAACTCCTTTATCTAAAGGGGTGTGTGGGGTAGCCTAGTGGTTAAAGGGTTTGCTGGTCACGCCGAAGACCCGGGTTCGATTCCCCACATTGGTATAATGTGTAAAGCCCATTTCTGGTGTCCCCCACCATGATATTGCTGGAATAGTGCTCACCTTTATCTAAGTATAGACTTAAGACATTATTAGGTCTGAGGTTGTTTTTATACAATGGCACCCTGTAACATGTATTTATTCACTGACACAGAAGCAAGAATTTGTGTATCAAGTAAAGTAAAATATTGTAGTGTCAGGATTCAGTGAAGGGACACAGGAGGACAATGGTTTCTAATTAACACAAGTGTCATGCTTTACTGTATTGCACATTGTGTCCTGTGTGTGGGAAGTGACCTCTATTTGGAGTTTGGCAACATTTCATGAGAAGATGTAAATTCTTTCAAAATAGAGAAACCGACACAATTGTACTCTTCAGACTACATGGACATAACCAGCAAGTGAGTGTGTATGATTTTACTCAGCTTTTAGCAATATTCCAGCAATATCACACCAGAAATGGGCTTCACACATTGTACCCATGTGGGGATTTGAACCAGAGTGTTCGACAAGACGAGCAGACACTTTTACCACTAGGCTACCCCACTGCACCTCACCAGCAAGTGAAGCAGATGCAGTTATCTATATTGCTGCAAAACTACTCCTACCAGCATTCATTATATTTTTTGTGTACAGAGAAGTATGATCAACATTTACACATTAGATTATCAAACTATTTTCATTCACAACACACCATATTTATATCAAATACATGAAAACAAACTGAAAAGATATCAATATTGACACCAAGTCTTGCAAAATCTGTTTGGTCTCAGTAACCTCTACTTATAAAAACAAACACAATGTAAATCATGAAAATCAAGTTTGCACTCAAGTTTGTGGGGCTACATTTGAAAAAATTCCAAGGAGTGTTTGACTGTTCAACATTGTTTTTAGCTCTGTTCCAAATCTTTTTCTCCACAGTGGGTGGTAATACACCTATGAACACTTCCTCCAAAATGGTAAAGAAAAGGTTTGTAATAAATCTTGTAGACCATCATGGTGGAACAGACTGATAGCTCCTCTCACAAATCATCTTAAAAAACAACAAGAAACCTATCACTTTCTACATTACCCACACGCAAGCTCTAAAATAAGCGATGCTTTACCGTAAGTCTTCCTTATACTGTTTGCTATTGGGATCAAAGACTGACTTTTTATTCACATGTCCGACACTGAACTTGTTACCTGCTCGGTACAAGGTACTTGATACAGGGTCCAAGGTGCCGAGCGGCCAGTATGACAAGACCTGTGTTGACATGTCTGGCTAAGGAGCTGCTGAGGCAAACACTCCTGCTGTCATTATAACAGTAGTACTAGCTGCACGTCAGTATTTGTCTTCATCAAGTCAGAGTATGATGGGGGAACACCGAAGATGGTGGTGATGATGAATGGTGATAGAGGATGTCGGCTGTCTTGTCAGTGATGACAGAAAAACATACACCGGTATTGCGGATTTGATGCTTTATTTAGCAGCATTTCCGTAATATCACAACCTGGGAGTAAGAGTGGGAAAGAAGCGGCAAATGATGCAGATCAGACATTTGCAATTACGAATTTGAAACCTGGATGTTTCGAATTCCTGGTTTACTCCTGTACATTTTTCAAAGAACACTCCAGTGCAAAAAAGGTCATGTTTAGAACAAAAGAAGTCGACAGCTCATTAGCAATCAGGGCCCCATTCCACATTGTAGTGCAATGACAGTCCTAAGTCAATGTTAAACTATTGGAATTCCATTCACCATAGCACAATGATCCCCGGAGCTTTAGGTCTTCTCCACGGCAATACAGTTACGTCACTGCATGGCAGCAAACATGGCAGCAAAGCTGAAAGTGACACACACCATACACATTTGCAACTGCAGTTGAAGCCAGTTGTGTCAAATCCTTGTTTTGGTCATGTGCATTTATTCCAGAAATGTTATCTAGAAGTTATTAAACAGTTCAGAGCTCATGAGCAACCAGGGTGCTATAGTAAGGCATTGGAGAAACAGTCACCTTGGGGCTAAGATGGCTTTGTACAACGGCACTAACAGATAAGGTCCTCTCACCTCTCGCCGTGTCATGAAAATATTCAATAAACAATCTTAAGAACTAATCCCTTGGGCGTTTACTGGTATGACTGACTGACTGACTGAGTTTGGTATTTCTGAGTGGGGCTATTTAGCAATATTCCAGCAACATCAGTGGGCTAGGGGGACACCAGAAATGGGCTTCACACATTGTACCCATGTGGGGATTGAACCCAATTGGTCTTCACCACCTCACCTCTCGCCATGTCAACGCTTTAACCACTAGGCTACCCTACCGCCCTTACTGGTATGAGAGAAATGTAATTAACTTTTGGAATCATGATTGATTATTCCATGTTGTAGGTAAACCAACCACACTGATAAACAGCTGAATCAGCAAATCAGTGGGCAGTATCTCCTGGTCCCATTGGCTTCTATAGGCTGGACCACCAGGACCACCAAGACAGCCATGCAGAACATGTACAAGGTGTTACTGAGCACTGTTACATATGTCAGCCAAACACTTACTACTCCTTCCCCACTAAAATTGTTTCTCAAATTATTCCGACCACCCTTTTACGTTTCATCCTTACAAAGAGACACTCCATACAAAGCTATTTAGGACGAGATTCAAGTCCCTGTAAACTTTACACAGTGTGTAATCCAAGCTGCCTCCCAACACACCCAATCTACCGGTCTGTCTACCTGACTACCCATCTGTCTACCCACGCTTGTTTGTACTAAAGCTTGGAATACCTGAATATTTAAAATCACCCACATCAACTATGCATTACTGCAGATGATGTTAAAAGAATGATCATGCATTTAGTTCATGGCATTTCTGGAAAATAACAGTTCAAATTTAAATTTTCTG